AGCCCGGAGGACGCAGTGGGCTAGAGAGAGGGAGTTAGCRTAGCGATAGGGTAGATGCAGCGACAGCTGCCATAGATGTAGTTAGTAGTGAGTGTGTGTGTGTGTTCGAGTRTTAGAGTGATGCGTGTGGGATATCCAGGGTGATCCAGTGTATGTGAACAGTGAGATGTTTGGGCGCTGAAGTCGCCATAGCTAATTGAGAGTGAACTCGTATCTGAAAGCCATATCTCCGAGTTTTGAGTGGGGGCATGTCGCCAGTATGCTGCGTTGCTGTTTACGTGCATGAAAACTGTGTTTGAGAACGAGTCTGATTGCATACCCACGGGCCCGGGCTCAGGCCCGCTAGAGGAAGCTGTTCATACCACTCCTTCTAGCAAAGCCCAGTCTGGATTTCTACCCCTCCCCCCCCCCCCCCCCCCCCCAAGCAAAAAAAAAGATAAACTGTCATCCACATTAAGGAAAAAGAAAAATGGCGACTACCTTCAATATGCCCTTACTCTTGCAGTTTTGCTGTTCTATTTTCGTATTTGCAGATTGCTTATGAGATGAATTCGGAGATGGAGGACGTTTCCACTGAGAAGGAAGGGGAAGAGCAGGCGGCAACTCCCAAGCCAGTTCTCCGAGATCGCCGCAACACAACCATCCTATCGGACTTGAGAACCATTGTTAGCTAGGGTGTAATTGCTATAAAGTTATAAACAAAGCCTCTCCGCTCCCTGTCATGCGCAAATTCCAGCAGCCCAACCCTTCCCCTCTGCAGAACATGAAGCACACTTTCATGTCCAAATTATGCACTTCCATGATCCATCAAGGTTTTGCCGTTGGTACGTGAGCATAGTTGCCTTATGTGGTAACGTGTAAACGAAGGATACATAGCAGAGCTCTCTGTTGGTTTGTTTGTTTGTTTGTTTTTTGCGAAGATAGATTGAAACTGTGAAGTTCTCTTGTGGTGACATAAATGATCCATCACAGATTGATTTGTCTTTCCTTTTTGGACCAATACATCTTCTCTGTTATCTATGAAAACCCTCTTTCTTCCTATCCACTTGTTGTCTCTGGTGCTCAGTCGAGCAATTGAGTTTTCCTTGACTTGTTCTTTTCCTGTGTACTCTTTCAGAGCGTCATTCCCTACTAGTTTTGACTTTTCTTTCCGGGCCCCTTGGGGGTGGGCAAAGTGTAGCATTCCCATCCCCTCCTTTCTAGCAGCTTTGCTCATTTCCAGCTTCCTGTGCAAAATCGTAACTTACATTATCCTCAAGACCCTTCCCCATCATCTGTGTGCGTCGGGGCGAACGCGCAATTCCCTTCAAATGCCAGCACGTGTTCAATTCCCTTAAATGTTTTCACTGCAAGCATGAAGCTTACCGTCTGTGTGTGTGTGTGTGTGTGTGTGTGTGTGTGTGTGTGTGTGTG